TATAAGARAAAATTTAAAAAGGGAACTAAGAAACCCTTATCTGAAAATCAAAAACAATATAGGACTAAAAGAAAATTAACTAAAAAGAAATCTCCTACATGTTATAAATGTGGTAAAAAAGGTCATTATGCTAATAAATGTAAATCTGTTAAAAAATCTGATAAAGAAAAAGATAAGAAAATTGCAATAATAGAATCAACTAGTTCTTCAAATGAATCTGAAACTGAAGATGAATCTTCATCCATAGAAGAGATTGATACTTTTTCAACAGAAAATTTCTCTAAAGAAGAAAATTGTACCTGTAAAAATATAGGTGAATGTTCAGAAAATAAAATTGAAGATGAAGTATATATAATTCAATCACAATTTGATGATAATATGACTATTAATTAAGGATCCAGAATTAAGATCTCAAATAATAGATCAATTAGGAGAAGAAAAGAAAAAAGCTACCATAATTAATGAACCATACTCAATGAAAACTGTTAATAAAATGTTACAAGAAAGAAAACTACAACAACCAATTAAATCGGATTATGATCAAGAAATTAAGAATCTTAAATTAGAAATTTCTGATCTAAAATCTAGAGTTACTCAATTAGAAAATAATAATATAATAAATAATGCATCTTCATCTACATCATATAATAAAKATGATGAATTTTTACAAACATTAGAAGGATTTGAATCACATAAATGGTATACAAATATTAATCTTTTAATTGRAAATTCTTATAAAAAGCAATTTGTTGCTATGATTGATTGCGGAGCAGATAAAAATTGTATTCAAGAAGGATTAATACCAACTAAATATTGTCATAAGACTACTACTGTCTTAAGAACACTATCCCAACAAAAACTAGGGGTTAAATGTGAAATGATTGCAAAAATTTGTCAAAATGGTATATGTAATCCACAAAAATTTATAATGTTAAATGCAGAACATATGCCTGCAAATCAGTTAATTCTAGGAAATCCTTTCCTAAAAACTATTTATCCTATAGAACATATTAGTGAAATATGTATTATTGGAAATTATAAAAATAATAAAATTAAATTAGAATTTATTGAAAAACCACAATTATCATGGTTAAAAGAAATTGAAACAATGATTAATTTAAAACAAAATCAATTAAATTATATAAAAGAAAAAAAAATTAATATTAACAATTGAAGAACAATTAAATAATTCGAAATTACAGGATAAAATAAAACTATTACAAAATCAATTTACTTTAAATATATGCGCTGATCATCCTAATGCTTCTTTAGAGTGTTTAATAATAATAATAATAATAATAATCATCATCAT